TAACTACAGCTTTGCCCAAAGCCCTGGCGTTATCAAAATGCTGACAAAACAGAGACTGTACCAAGTGGGGACAGTTGTCATTTTGCCATGGAGGAGGGTTTGTTGCAGACCTCGGGTACGGGAACCATACTGGATTCAGCATCATAAAAATTTGCAAAACAACGGTTGGCTTGACAGGCAGACAAGAGTTGTCCTTCTCGAGTTTTCTACTTTTAATCCACCAGTGAATATTTTAGGTACTGCGACATACATTTACGAAATTGACGCATCCGGTCTGAAAGCAGCCTCCGTGCAAACTGATGTTCTTTCCCTTTATCATACAGACACAGCCTCGCATGAGTTTTATTTCATTTGCATGTTTTTATTTATTGTTTTCCTTTTTCTGTGTTCTGGAAGAGAAAGCTTCAAGATTTATAAACATCGTTCCCGTTATTTGAAGTCCTTTTGGAATTGGGTCGATATATTCCAAATAGTATTCTCTCTTTTGGCCGTGGTGATTTACATAGCACGACAAGGTAAAGTAAACTCGACGACGGGGAAACTGAAAGAAAACATTTTTGCAAATGTTAGTTTCTAAGATGCTACCACTTTCCAAGAAATAGAGAATGCTGTAATTGGAATCCTAATGTTTATCGTCACCACAAAACTATTGCGGATTATTCGCTTTAACAACTACATTCCTTTTTTTTTTCAGAAAGATTGAAGAAATCTTCGCGATCTCTTTCTTCCTTTAGAGTTGTGTTAATGACTTTATTTATGACATTTTTGCACTTTGGCTTCTTAATGTTTGGCTCTGTATCTGAGCGTCACTCATCAGTGTTAAAAGGAGCCAATTAATGAACTGGCGGAGGAAAATAACGTATACGCCAAAATATTCGCCTTCTTAATACTTTTCACTCTTACTATCCACTGCATGAACTTTTTAATATCGGCAGGATAAACGATGCTCTTTTGGAAGCAAAAAACAACGTGAACGAAAGTAAGCTGTATGAACTTATTGATGAAGATATATGTTCGAGCTCAAAAGAAAGGAGAGAACTTTTTGATGCAATTAGTAAAACACTTAAAGGATAATCAGCATCCCAAACGTCCACAAAAGAGGAAAAAAACAATTAAGAAACGTCAGCATTCATTCCAAGAGGAGTTCAAAACTCAACTTTGATTTGTTAAGTCAGACTATAATAGATTTGAGGGAGAAGATAACCAGAGAAAAAATAGATATACTTCGATGCAGCAAAAGGAGACAATCACTCTTTGACAAGATAAGCAGCATGTTAAAATCCGCGAAGGGTGAAAGCAATAATAAATGGAGCAAACGGAAAGAAAAAAAAGGTTAGATCTCAGGAGAATATTGTTGAGTCTTCTCTTCGAAAACTACGTAGAAGAAAGCATGACTTTTTGCAATGACTGGAAAGAATTTTATCTGGGTTCGCAGAGGAAGACGAAGAATTTCATGATTTATTGAAAACAGCAGGGAAGCGGATATTGGTTTTAGAGAGAATTTTAAGAAGTGGTAAAAGGAAGAAAAATATATCATTCCAAATTAACATAAAAGGCACATACTCCTTACTGTATCACAAAGTAGCTCGCGCACACAAACATATGGCTGAAATTTACCAGTGTATTGTGACAGCAAATGCAGGATTGCGCCAAGTACGAAAACAAACACAAACAAAGAAAACAAAACAAAATAATCTTGTTTTTTTTTTGTTGTCTTTTGTTGTTTTTTTTTCTTTTTTTTACATTTAGTTGAGCTTATGTCAGAGAAAGTATTTGTAGTTAATTCTTCTATGTTTATGCCTCCCGGTTAGCTCAGTTGGTAGAGTGCCGGAATGTTGTGCGGGAGGTCGTGGGTTCAAATCCTGCCGGACCAACACTCAAGATCTTTAATTAACTGAGAAGAAAGTGCTGCCTTTGTAATAATATCCACAAATGGTTAGACTTTCTAGCCTTCTTGGATAGGGACGATAAATGGAGGTCCCGTCTCCTGCAGGGTTGGGGTAGGAGACGTTAATTTCCCACACACGAGATTACTGTTTGGTGGATGTCCTCTCCGGGGTGGGATGGGGGGAGGGGGGTAAAAAAGGGGTTAGGTGTTAATTGGAACGAAAGTTCTGTTCCTTTCTCCTGCCATTCCAGTGGCGAATGAATTAAACTTAAACTTAAAACTTAAAACTTAAAACTTAAGAAATGGTTAGATATTCTAGTCTTCTCGGATAGGGACGAATAAATGAAAGTCCCGTCTCCTGCAAGGTTTGGGGTAGGAGACATTAATCTCCCACGCACGAGATTACTGTGTGATGGATGTCCTCCCCTGGGGTGGGATGGGTGGGTT